AGAATGTTTTTTTCTCATGATCTCCCTTATCTGTCAGTATATGTATATATATCTCTGACTATGAACTCATAAGCCATTATAGAGCTCAAAGATATGTTGCATTCATCACGTTTTTTTTTTCTTTTCCTTTCTTTCCTTAATAATAATGTAAGTGAAGTAATCTATTGGGTGGTTGGAACGTTCTAACAATCTTGTAATAATGCACGTACAAATGGGTGACGGTAGGGATAATCTAGCAATCTTACCATGTGTTCACTTTATAAGGGCAATAATGTTATGATGTGGTAGGAATGATTACTGAAAGGATATAAATGGATAAATTTTATTGATTAATCCTTTATTGTATTCCTAGGTATTTCTGTATTCCTAGGTGTATTTCATTTTAACTAATCAAATAAGCATAACTATAGTAATAAGCTGAATGTTTATAATGTTTATAATGATTCGATCCGTTAGCTATATATGTGTATATGGTTTTTCAGCAAATATGGCAAATATGGACGAGAGTGTTCAAGGGCCAAGTCTGCCAACATTGGCAGATTTAAAAAATCATTTGCGCAAAGAGCCGCTCTACTTCCAGGCGTTGGAAGGTTATTTACGAAATGCGGCGAATTTGGTATGTTTATTTTTGGTTTGTAACTTACTTATGGTGAATATTCAATTTAGTTATTGAACCCATTGTTAGTTGTATTGACTAGTATGATTTTTTCTTTAGATTAATAGTTTGCGGGCGAGGTTGGAAAGAAATGAGCATGAAGCTCATGAGGATGAAGCGATCCAGGTCCCAAGCGCAAGTCCTTCGCCAGCTCGGGAGCAATTAGAAATTTCCGATGAGCTCCTGGAGCACGAGCCCGAAATGGAGGGCGAACATGAAAATCAGGAACGGCTCGTGCTCCACCGCCTCCAACAGCAGCTACATGAAGAGCAAGAAGTGGTTGAACCAGTACCGGCACTGGTTCACGATGAAGAGGCGGAAGAGTTGGTGGGGTGGCGTCAGGTATCACAAGAAGCGCCCCTCAATGAAGAAGTGATACCGAGAGCGCCTACAATGGTCCGGCGACGCAGGGAAATAGTACGAACTCGCGAAATAGTACTGTAAGTTTCATTTTTACCCTGAAAGTATGTTAAAAAATTCAGATAGTTTAATTCGAAATGTTAATGTTAAATTAAATTAATTGATCTCCCTGCATAGTCCGAGTTTCTGAATCATTGCACAATGTAGTTGGATAATGGACAGATTTTGTAGTATGCTTAATAAGTGAACATTAGGATGAAAAATTAATCTTATAATGACCAGTTTAAAAAAAAAACCTGAATGAATATACTTCAGGCGTTCCCGAACCATACGGGTCCCAGTTGTGGAAGAAGACGAAGAACGTGGCGCAATATCAGCAGATACGGAACCCTTCCACACGCCGGTAGTGGAAGGTTTACCGGCGAAATACCGAAGGCTGCTGATCGCGCCGGAAATCGACCCGTACACGGTCACTCGAAGTGCTGACGGGTCGACCACAATTGGTAAATTTTAATTTATTTCATTGCTGTGTTAAAAAGTTCTATATGAATGATTTGAATGCATTTGGAAACGCTTTTCATATTTTCAGGGTGCGGTATGTGCCCGAAGGAATTTGGGACGTTGAAGGGATGGCGAATTCATGCCAGCAAAATGCACCGACAAAGCGGTAAGTTTCACTTCGTATATTACTGGTATTACTAGGAGAAAGAGCAGTTTTTGAATTTGAAAGTTTATTGCCAATAACAATCTGAAAAGTGAAACATTATTATAAAACATTCATTTCAGGCTTTTGTCAGAAGTGTGGTCATTTCATTGACATGCCGCACGTTAGCTCCGATGAGGAAATAGCAGCAACGATGGAGCTCCATTCCTTAGAATGGTGCCCCATGGCCACGAAGGCCGTCATAAGTGAAAGGGCTGCTAAACGAAGGAGACTAGAGCTAGTTGGTAGAAGCGACGAAGCTCAGCACTATTACATTCCTGGTAAGTGGGACTTTTCCTTTCCAAATAATGTCAAATACGAGAAATTAT